GGTGACGTTGTGAGCAATTTGCACGAGCTCAGGCAGCGATTGCAGAGAATTGCTGATACGGTTCAAGAACACATAGAGGTTGTCTCAGGTGTCCCTTCAGGGGATGCAAGTGACCCCGTGATCGAAGAGTTGTCCGACGCAGTCGTAGAGATAGTTCGGCAGCTTGCTGATTACAATATTCAAGACTTGGCAATGCCATCAAGGACCCAGCATGCTGCACTATGCAGCCTATCAGGGTAGATCTTTACAAAATTACGCAACATGACGTCAACACATGAGCACCATGAAGACATTCAGGAGCAAGGGCCAGCCGAGTTTTCGATCGCGCTCTCGCGTGAGCAGCAGGCTGCAGTTGAGTGCCCAAGCAGCCTGTTCCTACAAGGCCGTTCTGGCACAGGAAAGACTCTCCAGCTGCCTGCGGCACACCCCGCCACCATGCCTTTGCCGGAGCGGATCGTGAAGGGGGGGGAGCACGCCATGTCAACGCGCGGTCTGAATTCGCATGGGTCTTAAACTCGGCTTCGCTCCCTCAGTGGTGGAGCTCTCTCGGGCAGCGTTGGAGGGGAATCGGGCAGTTTGATCAGCACGAGAGCTCTCTGGGGGCAATTTCTGCCGTCCTTTGGATTTGGATGGCCTCCTTTGGGTCTCTCTGAAGCTCCCCCGACAAGATGTGAAGCCAAACGGCCCTGGAAGCAAATGATGTTGGGTGTCTGCATGTTTTATTTAATCGCTTCGCTCATTCCGCCGGCCCATACAGTCTCATGTCTGCCGTTTGCCCGAGGGCCTGGTGTCAATGCGGCGCTTTGGGGGTTATTTTGCCAGGCGTCTCGGGAACCTCTTGGAGGCAGTGTTGAAGCCTCTTGAGGCCCCGTAAGGGCCGTTTGGGGGTCGTTGGGGCTTCTTGTTGGGCTTCTTGGATGGTTCTTGGGGCGTGGCTTCTGAGGTGCTCCTAGGGGCAGAATCCCCCTTTGGGCGCCTATTGGGCGGTCTTGGTGCTCTCTTGTGCCGTCTTGGGGTTATCTTGGGCCGTCTTGGGCCGATTTTAGCGGATTGTTGGGCTGTCTCGGGGCGATGTTGGGGGCTATTTGCGTAGTCTGAGGCGCTGTGAAATTCGAAACGCCGTTCATGCGGGAAGTGTACATGTTCCTCTGGGAATGGGACGATTTTTGATTGTAATGGCCGTCTTGGAGGGCCTCTTGAGGCTCTCTTGGGGTTTCTTGGCGGCCTCGACGGCAATTTTGAGGTCATCTTGGGCGATTTGGAACGATTGTTCGGCGACTTGAGGCGGCTTGGATTGTTTCGGGGGCGTTCCGGTGCCGTTTTGGCGCGCTCCTGGAGCGTTCTGGGGGCATGAGCCGAACGTCGCGCTCTGGGCGGCGTGCGGAAGCCATTGTGTGAGAGGGCGCGGTGGTGAGAAGAACAGCTCACCCCACCCGGCTTTCCGGGCTTTCCGGCGTAAGGAGGGCTTCTTCGCGGCACTTGTGAACGCTCCTGGACAGTGCTTTTTGGGCAGGTTCTTGACGCTTGTTGCAAGTCTGTAGGGGCCCCGTTGGGAGTCTACCGAAAGGAGAGCACATTGTAGCATCGCTTGCACTTGCTTGCGTGCTCGGGGGGGCATTTGGGGGGCCTCCTGGGGCCGCTTGGGGGACTCTTGGGGGCCTCCTGAGGGCCTCGTGGGGGCCTTTTGGGGCCTCTTAGGGGCCTCTTGGGGCCTCGTGGGGGCTTCTTAGGGCCGAGGGCTCGAAATGTTGTTTCGTGTTCCCTCTCTGGGGCCCCTTTGGGGGCGTTCTTGGGGCCCTTTTGGACCGTCTTGGAGGCTTCTTGGGCCGTCTTCGAGCCCTCTTGGGCCATCTTGGGGCCCTCTTGGGGGCCTCTTGGGCCCTCTTGGGGCGATCTTGGGGGCCTCTTTGGTCGTCTTGGAGCGTCGGGAAACGGAAAAGGCGAGAATGCGAAAATCCTTCAAAAACCTTAGGGAAATCGATGAATTTTGCCTCTTGGGGACCTCTTGGCAGGGCTCTTGGAGGCTTCTTGGTGCGTCGGGGAGCCATCTTAGGCGTTTTGGAGCGATATTATGGCGTCTTGGAGCTCTGTTGGACCATATTGAGGGCCTCTTGGGGGTCTCTGAGCTCTTCTCGGGGCTCTTGGGAGGCCCTGAGGGCGGCGCCCAGGAGCAGAACCATCCCCGACAGGGAGTTGCCCAGGGACCTGGTCAGGGTACTTTTCATCCGGGGACCCCCAGGGGCCGCCCCGCGCGCGCGAACTAGAAAATTGTTAAGCAGTTACCGGAGATCTTAGCACGCCTCTGGCCCGTTGGGCCGGCGAATTTTAAAGCGTTCCTCTGAGCGCCTGGTTGGATACCTCTTCGGACGTCTCTTGGAGGCTTCTTCGGGCCTCTTGCTAAGATCTCCGGTAACTGCTTAACAATTTTCTAGTTCGCGCGCGCGGGGCGGCCCCTGGGGGTCCCCGGACGAAAAGTACCCTGACCAGGTCCCTGGGCAACTCCCTGTCGGGGATGGTTCTGCTCCTGGGCGCCGCCCTCAGGGCCTCCCAAGAGCCCCGAGAAGAGCTCAGAGACCCCCAAGAGGCCCTCAATATGGTCCAACAGAACTCCAAGACGCCATAATATCGCTCCAAAGCGCCTAAGATGGCTCCCCGACGCACCAAGAAGCCTCCAAGAGCCCTGCCAAGAGGTCCCCAAGAGGCAAAATTCATCGATTTTCCTCAGGTTTTTGAAGGATTTTCGCATTCTCGCCTTTTCCGCTTCCCGACGCTCCAAGACGACCAAAGAGGCCCCCAAGATCGCCCCAAGAGGGCCCAAGAGGCCCCCAAGAGGGCCCCAAGATGGCCCAAGAGGGCTCGAAGACGGCCCAAGAAGCCTCCAAGACGGTCCAAAAGGGCCCCAAGAACGCCCCCAAAGGGGCCCCAGAGAGGGAACACGAAACAACATTTCGAGCCCTCGGCCCTAAGAAGCCCCCACGAGGCCCCAAGAGGCCCCTAAGAGGCCCCAAAGAGGCCCCCACGAGGCCCTCAGGAGGCCCCCAAGAGTCCCCCAAGCGGCCCCAGGAGGCCCCCCAAATGCCCCCCCGACCGAGCACGCAAGCAAGTGCAAGCGATGCTACAATGTGCTCTCCTTTCGGTAGACTCCCAACGGGGCCCCTACAGACTTGCAACGAGCGTCAAGAACCTGCCCAAAAAGCACTGTCCAGGAGCGTTCACAAGTGCCGCGAAGAAGTCCTCCTTACGCCGGAAAGCTCGGAAAGCCGGGTGGGGTGAGCTGTTCTTCTCACCACCGCGCCCTCTCACACAATGGCTTCCGCACGCCGCCCAGAGCGCGACGTTCGGCTCATGCCCCCAGAACGCTCCAGGAGCGCGCCAAAACGGCACCGGAACGCCCCCGAAACAATCCAAGCCGCCTCAAGTCGCCGAACAATCGTTCCAAATCGCCCAAGATGACCTCAAAATTGCCGTCGAGGCCGCCAAGAAACCCCAAGAGAGCCTCAAGAGGCCCTCCAAGACGGCCATTACAATCAAAAATCGTCCCATTCCCAGAGGAACATGTACACTTCCCGCATGAACGGCGTTTCGAATTTCACAGCGCCTCAGACTACGCAAATAGCCCCCAACATCGCCCCGAGACAGCCCAACAATCCGCTAAAATCGGCCCAAGACGGCCCAAGATAACCCCAAGACGGCACAAGAGAGCACCAAGACCGCCCAATAGGCGCCCAAAGGGGGATTCTGCCCCTAGGAGCACCTCAGAAGCCACCAACATCCCGCCAATAAGTCCCCCAAGACGCCCCAAGAACCATCCAAGAAGCCCAACAAGAAGCCCCAACGACCCCCAAACGGCCCTTACGGGGCCTCAAGAGGCTTCAACACTGCCTCCAAGAGGTTCCCGAGACGCCTGGCAAAATAACCCCCAAAGCGCCGCATTGACACCAGGCCCTCGGGCAAACGGCAGACATGAGACTGTATGGGCCGGCGGAATGAGCGAAGCGATTAAATTTTAAAGCGTTCCTCTGAGCGCCTGGTTGGATACCTCTTCGGACGTCTCTTGGAGGCTTCTTCGGGCCTCTTGAGACATCTCGGGGAGATTGTACCCTATCAGGGCTCACTGAGTAGTCTTCGGATGGTCTTAGGGTGAATTTGAGGCCCACGCCAGTTCAGCGCGAGGGTCTCAATTTCGACCTTGTTCCGTCAGTCTTGGAGCCCTCTTGGGCCGTTCCGGAGGGTTCTCGGGCAGTCTTGGGGTCCTTTGGGTATTCTCTGGGAGCAGTCTTGGGTTGCATGGTGGTTTCATTTGGCGTCTCTGGAGCTTTCCCGATGCGATCTGAAGCCGAACGGCCTCGGGAACGACACACATTGGTCGAGCTACGGCTTGTCAGAGTGTGCCGCTTTCTACCACCTCGCTGGATGCCTCTTCCGGCGCGTCTTGGAGGCCGCGCTGGGCATCCATGAGAAATTTTGTAGTTTTTTGGGGGACTCGTCGGGCCGCCTTCGGGCGCTTTCAGTTCGGCGCGAGGTCATGGACTTCCAGTTCGGCCTCGCCCCCTCCGCCTTGGGGCTCTCCTGGGCCGCCTTCCACGCTTCTCGGGCAGTCCTGGGGCCACGTGGGGGGCTTGTGGCCGTTTCGGGCCGTCTCGGGGGCTTCTCTGAGCCTTCTACCACGCCCCAGCGCGTCGACGGGGCGATGGCGGATCGTGGCGGTCCAGCGCGCTCTTTGGCACCGTGGGCAGGACGGACGGCGTCACGAGACCCATCTGTTTATCGTGAAGTCATCGATGTTGCGCGACATGGTCTCACAGCAGCTTGAAACATCCGGAGTGATGATTTCAAGGACCATCGGCGTCTCGCAGTGGACCCCCTCCAGCGCGACGGTCATAACCTGGGACCAGCTTGTTGGCCGCTTCCTCGGGCAGAGGACACCGATAGGTTTTCCGGCCTTCATGCGTACGTATTGGCCTCACTTGCGGCCGTTGGCACCACACCTTCACGCAAACATGGTTTGGACAGAGTTCAACTCTCGGTTGCGGCCATTTGGTCCTCGGTGGCGAACTGGCCTCACAAAGGATGAGTATATGAAAGATGATATGATGGCGCAGGGGGTGAGGCTAACAATGAAAGATCAAGCACGTGTGTACTACATGTTCGACAGATACATGACGATGAAGCACTCCTTCCGCCAATATGACGACATCGATGTTGCTGCGTGTATTCGTGATGCCATCGCTGCATTTCCAAAGGTGGATAAGTTATATGTGGACGAAGTTCAAGATTTTTCCCCGTCGCAACTCATGGTGCTCCTTAGTACTTGCTGGGATCCAGATGGCGTGACCATGGCTGGAGATACATGCCAGACAATCAATGCTGGCAGTGCTTTCAGCTTCAAAGACATTATGATAGCATTCCGGGAAGGGTTTGCGGAACGATCTTGCTACGATGCGGCTTCTAAAGCTCAGCTTCGTTTCCTGCACTACAACTACCGCTGTGCAGCTGGGGTTGCATTTTGGGCGAACTCAGTCACTTCCTTGCTCTTGGAGCGCTTCCCGCATTGTGCTGACCGTATCGAGGAGGAGACTTTGTGCCAGCAGCTCGTTGAGCTACCTTTAATCGTTCACCTGGAAGGTGTCAATCAGAAACGCTTCGCGTGACTCCAGCAGCTCATCCTGCGGCCAGTGTATCGTTCACTTTTTGCGCGGTTGAGTGTGCAACTGTCTGGCCAGGTATAACATGGTCTCGTCTGGTTGCGTAGGGTTAAGCATGGTGTTGGTGTTTGGCGTGGTGCAATCGGTGTCGACCACCTCTGTTTGTCTAAATCTGTTCCTTGCTGCGGTACATGGTCCCAGATTGTTGCAAATATCCGTGTGTGTGTGTGTGTGCGCAAGTCGGTGGCCAAAGTAAATGCGGTCACTCAAGTGGCCTTTTTTTCTCCTCCGGCTCGTCTACGTAATTGTCGTTTATCTCATTTCCACGCCATCGAGGTCTTGCATGTTCCTGCTGTCCTTCATGTTCTGTCTTCCTGTACCTCCCCCCTTGCCCGCGCCTCCTCCTGATCATTGATTTCTCCGTGCGCGCCCATATCCACGGGGAACAGACCTGCGGACGCACGGTGGCCTCCCCCTATCTGGCATGATCTCTTCTGGCCTCTCTCCGTTCCGGTCTTGCCTGCTCCTGCGGCGCCCTCTCTCTGCTGGGTCGACTCGTGCGGCCTCGTATATGTATGGTATGGTCTGGCTCGTATGGTGTGGTATGGCCTGACGCGCCACGCGCCCTGGTCCTGCGTGTTCTTATCCGGATCGCTGTCCTTGTGTACCGTCAAGAAGAGGAGGACGAGGACGAGGACAAGGACGAGGAGGAGGAGGAGGAGGGAGAGGAGGAGGAGGGCGACGGACAGACTCTTGGGCGCGGTCGGCTTCGGTGGACAAGACCGCCGCGTGGGCGCCAGTGCGTGAGGAGAAGGAGGAGGATGAGGAGGAGGAGGAGGTGGAGGACCGCCTCCCCCTCCAACTGATGGTCGTGGTGGTGGTGGTGGAAGACAGGCCCGTCGAGCTGTGGGATCCGATTGGAGTTGTGGCAAACTGTGTCGAACTGTGGGATCCGATTGGAGTTGTGGCCAACCGTTTCAGAATCGCACTGGGGGATGTGGGCAGTCCCGACAGGATCCTACCAGAGCGGGCTGCAGCTGTGATCGGATCACGTTGCAGCTATAGCCCGCCGCAGCAGGGCTTTATCGGAGATGCAGCCCGCGTTGGTCGAACAAGACTGTGTTCGAGCTGTGGCCAATATCATTATAATCTTATCAGGCCTGTCAGCAGCTCAGGTAGGGTCCTGTCAGGTCTGTATTTGATGACAGTGGTGTGCGAGTATCCAATCAATGCCGTGGCGAGCTGCAGTAGGATCCTATCAAAGTTGTAGCTAGACGTAATGCAATGTATTCGGATTGTGGGCAGCTCTACAGAGTCTTATTCTATACGCTTCGCGTAACCCCACCAGTTCATCCAGAAACGATGCCTAGACGAGTTGCCCTGATCAGGGATGTGGAGGAGCATGCAGTGGAATCCAGGGTTGGGTAAGACGTCATATCCCAAGATGGAGAGGAAGGAAGAGGAATCGGAGGAGGAGGAGGAGCATCAGCAGCAGCAGGAGGAGGGGGAGGAGGAGGGGGAGGAGGAGGAGGAGGAGTAGGCGGATGAGGATGAGGAGGATCAGGAGGGGGAGGAGGAGAAGGAGGAGGAGGAGGAGGAGGAGGAGGAGGAGGAGGAAGAGGGCGAGCAGAAAGGCCATTGGCCTCTTGGATGCGGAGTCTTTTCGGATTCATTTCGAGAGCTTCCTGGGGGCCTTTCGGGGTGCATTGGGGGTATCTTGGTAGTCCCGGGGGCCTCTTGGGCCGTTTGGGTGCCTCTGGAGATGCTCTCGGGGCCTCTTTGGGGTCTCTTGGAAGCCTTTCGGGGACATCTGGGAGGCCCTTGTGGAGGGAAGCAGACCGGTTCAACAGACGACCGGTTCAACAGGGACCGGTTCAACAGACGACCGGTTCAACAGACACCGGTTCAACAGACGACCATGGTCGTCTGTTGAACCGGTTCTTGCTGAATTGCAGTTCAGCAAGGACCGGTTCAACAAAGACCAGTTCAACAGGACCGGTTCCGCAGAACCGGTTCCATGCACGGAACCGGTTCCACAGGACCGGTTCCGCAGGACCGGTACCACAGAACCCGTTCCACAAGCCCGGTTCCACAGGACTGGTTCCACAGGACCGGTTCCACAGGACGGGTTCCACAGAGGCGATTCCTTCCTGCTACTCTCTCTCATTACACTGCTGCTGCTGTTGCTGCTGTTGCTGCTGCTCCTCCTCCTAGGGTACTCGCGTCCCGCCCGTTAGGGTACTCGCGTGCCAACTTGATGGCGCACCATACTTTAATGTCCGCCCGACCCGACCCGACCTTTCCCGTTAGGGTCCGCCCGCCGGACCCGTCCCGCCCGTTAGGATATTCGCGTGCCAACATGATGATGCACCATTATTTTATGTCCCGCCCGCTCGACCCGACCCGTCCCGCCCGTGAGGGTCCGCCCGCCCGACCCGACCCGTCCCGCCCGCCCGCCGGACCCGTCCCGCCCGTTAGGGTACTCGCGTGCCAAGTCGATGATGCATCATACTTTAATGTCCCGTCCCGCCCGACCCGACCCGTCCCGCCCGTTAGGGTCCGCCCGCCCGACCCGTCCCGCCCGTTAGGGTACTCGCGTGCCAACTCGATGGCGCACCATACTTTAATGTCCGCCCGACCCGACCCGACCCGCCCGTTAGGGTCCGCCCGCCGGGCCCGTCCCGCCCGTAGGGTACTCGCGTGCCAACTCGATGATGCACCATTATTTTATGTCCCGCCCGCTCGACCCGACCCGTCCCGCCCGTGAGGGTCCGCCCGCCCGACCCGACCCGTCCGCCCGCCCGCCGGACCCGTCCCGCCCGTTAGGGTACTCGCGTGCCAACTCGATGGTGCATCATACTTTAATGTCCCGCCCCCGACCCGACCCGACCTTTCCCGTTAGGGTCCGCCCGCCCGACCCGACCCGTCCCGCCCGTTAGGGTCCGCCCGCCCGCCCCCCGCCCGTTAGGGTACTCGCGTGCCAACTCGATGGTGCATCATTCTTTAATGTCGCCCGACCCGACCCGTCCCGCCCGTTAGGGTCCGCCCGACCCGACCCGTCCCGCCCGTTAGGGTCCGAGGACCCGTCCCGCCCGTTGGATGCATCATACTTTTGTCCCGATAGGGTCCCGACCCGACCCGATGTCCAAATCGTTGACCCGACCCGACCCGCCCGTTAGGGTCCGCCCCCGACCCGGAGGGTCCGCCCGCCCGCCGGACCCGTCCTGCCCGTTAGGGTACTCGCGTGCCAACTCGATGCATTCTACTTGAATGTCCCGCCGCCCGACCCGACCCGTCCCGCCCGTTAGGGTCCGCCCGCTCGGGTCCGCCAGCCCGCCGGACCCGTCCCGCCCGTTAGGGCACTCGCGTGCCAACTCGATGATGCATTCTGTTTGAATGTCCCGCCCGCTCGACCCGAGCCCGACCTGGTTCCAGGGAAGCGATTCCGGGGAAACGGTGCACCGGGGCCCCCCAGGGGAACCGGCTGCGGGGAAACGGGGAACCGGCTCCGGGTAAACGGATTGGGGGAAACGGTTCCGGGCAAGCGTTCCCGGGAAAACGGAACCGGGGAAACGGTCCCGGGGAAACGCTCCTCCGGGGAAGCGGTCCCCGGGGAAGAGGTCTCCGGGGAAACGGTCCTCTGGGGAAACGGTCCCGGGGAAGCGGTTCCGGGGAAACGGTTCCCGGGGAAACGGTTTCGTATCCTCTTGGGGCCTCCTGGGCACCTTTTTGGGCCGTCTTGGGGCGCCCTTGCGAGCCTCGGGGGCCATCTTGGGGCTATCTTGGATGAGATCGATCAATGGGGCCCCTTACTTCGGTTTGCCCCCCCAAGCAGGCCAAAATGTTGCCGAAATCTCCGTGCCATTTGGTCTGGTTGGGGTCTGCCAGTAACCCAGGGACTTTTGAGCTGCAGCCCGCTGCGCTCCCTTCCCCATGTTTTTTTCCCTCTCTCGCGTTCCCTGGCTGCAGCCTTCCTGGGCTCGAGCAGGACGCACTTTTGCGAATGGGGTGGGGGCCCCCCCCTTTGATCTCCTGCTTGCGCTCTTCGCTACCGGTGCGGTGCCCCTGTTGGCCGGCCTGCTCGCCAGGGGCGCGCCTTCGGGCTCCCCAGGGGGCCGGGGGCGCAGGGGCCAGCTTACGCGGAAGACGACGGCGACCAGGACGCCCGCCTCGGGGCGGAAGGGCCCGACGGAGAGGGACAGCCTGGAAGGAGACGGCGACCGGGGCGCCTGTCTCGGGGCGGAAGGGCCCGGCGGAACCCGACACCAAAGGACAGCGGCGGAAGTGGAGATCACGCCGCGTGACCGCAACGGAGGGCGTTTGGGGCCCCGTGAGGGGGGCCAGCTGGGAAAGGAGGGGCGCGCGCGGGCAGTGTCGACCCCGATGAACATCAACCGACTACTTCAGGATCGAATCTACAACCTCCTCACCCGATCCGACATGCTTCGCAATGGGGCGCAGCAGGCCGGTCACCTAATGGCCCGCGTTTCAAATGCTCCCGTCAGCTTGCACACGTCACGCGGACAATTGCTGCCAGCAAGACGCCTGCCTGGCGCCTGCCTCTCTTGATCTCCATGTTTGTTCGGATGCAACTCCTGGGAGGTCAGATTATGATTTTGCCCTGATCCGAAGTCGGCTTGCTCCCGTTTGATCCGGCCGATTCCCGCTCAGTCACGATTTAAAATGGCTTTGCCCATTAATCCGCGGGCTAATCCGGTGTAGCAGCGCCCCAACGGGGCTCAATTCTTTCTAATCCTTTTGACGAAGACCTACCTGAGCAGCGATGACCTGGGATGCTTTGGAAGCTACAAAACGCGACGTATGGGACGCCAGAGGCGTCGATGCTTTTCCAAGGCGAAGTGAGAGACACCTGCGCGCAGAACGGGTATATGGAGTTGAAACCGGTGTGTTTCTTATGCTACAACCCTGGGATCGATTCTCTGTGTGCCGGTCATGGGGATGACGTCGCTGTGGAGGTTT